CAAGAGTCAAGTCTGGTTTGTACTGACACAGTGTCCCGTCATTGTTACCTGTCACCAACTGTTTCCCTTTTGGACTCCAACAAATACATCTGTGAAAGAAATTGATAGAAAACCAGTCATGAGCGGAAGCTGAAAAATTAAAACTCCACTTGACTATAACTCTGGAGTCTGTGTTGTAAAGGATAAGAGGCATGGTGTACTTGTGTTGAGTGATACAGCTGTGTAGTTATACAAATCCTAAAAGAAGATATTAAAAGATATAAATTTCAAGCATGTGTTCTTTTTAATCAATATATAACAATACAAGCTTACTGGTGGTAGGCCCTCCTGTGAGTCCGCACAGGCAGGTTTTTTTTTATAGCTTATATTTTATTAGAAACAGAAATGCGTTTCGGTTTGAAGGGGGTGCAGCCATTGTAGCTATACTGAGACTTCAGAACTTATATCTCAAGGTGGGTGGCACATTTACATTGTAAATGTCTATGGGCTCCAATACCACTAAGCACCAGGTCGGCTGTGAGCTCGTCCACCATCTAAGCAATAAAAAAGAATCCTCAAGAGAGGAATAGCATTGCATAATAAAAATCTCACCATCAACATTTATAAATTTGAGAATTATTATTATATTAAATTAAAAATTGTTTTAAATTTATAGAGCGGCAGGTCATTGTTTGGTAGATATAAAACTTTTTTTAAAATACAGTCAATATACAGAACAAGAGAAATGTCGATTTGCAGAGAACTGCTAGTATTGTTGTAAGCTCCCCTTTCTTTTGCACAGATGGATAAAAGAGCCCGCTCTCTGGACCTTGTGTTCACTTGTTGTCAGAGCCTATACACATTAGGTATAAGTTCCAATTATATATTTTCTTTTAATGTATAGTCATAATTTTTGTTTCAGTTGTGAAATAGTTCATTAATAAAAGCAATTCAAAACTTACCTCGCTTTTGTTTGTACTTTCTTGACCTGGTTTGTGGTAACTTGACAGGCAAGTAAGGTACCATCTTGGAATGCTAATGCTAAAGAGTCCGGTATGCAAGGGTTCCATTGTAATGCTGATACAAATGTTGATGGATTCACATTGGTCTTCATAAATATTGATGGTGATACATTCTGTGGAATGAATATAAGAGGATGAAGCCATTTATATAAAGAGAGATCAAATCTTCTAGCTAGAGTACTGTATTTCGTTTAATCAATAGATATTTACTTTAAATATAAATACATATTTAGAATTAAATTACTAAATACTGACAAATACTGAGCAAGACAAGAATTTGTAGGTCAGAACTAATTGGAAGGTGGCAACAATTTCAATTGACTACAATTTAGTTAGCCTTTCTTTCATTGTGTTGTACATTTATTCATGAGTAAACTAACGTCTGCTCTTAGGTCCTTGAGACATCATGTTAGCATTAGAAACAAATAAATTGACAGCTTGTTAACAATATACTGGAATAGTATAAATGCATAAAAAGAGGGGATAGAAATTGCATAATATGAAAATGCATTAAAAGAGTACTGTGTTATAAGGAGGATTACTAATACTGTATTATATTTCCTAATTATTAATTCAATTATCTTAATAAATACATTAGGTGTATTACCTGATTCTGAAAGTCTGTGACTTTAAACACGGAAAGGGACTGCGAACCAGCCACTGCAAGTAGTTCATCATCGCAACTAACAGCAATATGCGTAGCACACTCTTGAAGCTTCACATTTGTATGTTGTGTCTCATTAGACATCAGTTGTTTTAGGGAATAGACTAAAACATTTATAAATAGACTTTACTCAAAATAGATGTTACTTGAGCTAGTTCATTTGAATATTGAAAGTGTTGCTATTTTTTGGTTAAAAGTTGTTTTACTAACTTTAGGGTATTTAAGTGACTTTTACTTAATTTCAGTTTCACAATTTATATATTGAACCCATATGTACACTCGGAAAACATTTTTTTATACCCAAATTTATTCAACATAATGTATTTCAGGTTTTGTCATTCAATAAAATTTTTTTTATTTACCTGAAAGTGTCCCATCAGGAGCAGCAATGAAAACAATGCCATATTTGCTGCTACAGGCCACCAAATTGTAACCCCGATTTGACAATTTTTCTGTTGTGTTAAATACTTTTGTCTTGTGTTGCAATTTATACAACAAATTCTAAAAAAAGAGATTATTTGGATTTGTTATTATTTTTGTTTGGAATTTGTATTGTATTGGATGCTATGAAATTTATAGCCATTCATTTCAAATTATGGTCTGTGATTTAGTAATTTTTTAATTTATAAAATACATTTTATATTTAAGATCTATTAAAGGAAGCTTTTAAATGAAATGAGAGCTTATTTTTATATCCTAATATTCATGGGCCAGTTTTAATTATAACATTTTCTTGTAAGCTTTGTTGTGTAACGTTGATTTCGTTTTTTTTTTCAATTCATTTATTAATAGGCACTAGTTATCCTGTCTGAAGTAAAACAATATTTATAATTTAAATCTTTAGAAATAAAATTAAAAACCTACCGGTTCATCAATAGAATTTGGTCCATACTTTGATTCCATGCTGCAGTCGGTTTCAAAGTTCTACCTACAGCTACCTCACAAAGAATACCTCAATATCTTTATCAAAATACGCGCTACAAGCCTGCGTTCAATACATCGGTAATTTATTGATTAAGGATACAAAATTCGAAGAGTATTAATTTGTAGCACAATTGGCAGTCAATTCATATCGTTTTGAATCATAGAACTATCAAAATATGTAATAGCCTAATAGGTAGTAAATTGAAGTATTTGCAGTTGACTAGGTCTAATCTGTGAAGTAAAAAGACTTGACTTAAAGGTCCTAGTTACCAGGTCGTAAAATCCCTTGAAAAAAGAGGGCGTGCTACACGAAAGGGATTCGTTGAATGCTCTAACAATTTGATAATTTGGTATGTAGTGCACTTTTTCGTTATAATATAATGACATTTAGTGTACTTGAGCGAATCAGAACGCATGTTGTGGGCTTAGTGCGGTTCAAAGGGCTTTATGACAACGAAGCTTACTGGCGTATTTTTGATCTCCACATTCGATTTGACAATTTTTTCAAATATGTAATCTTTAAAAAAATATTAACACTTATTTACAAAATAGTATGATTGTGTTGCTTGCATTCCATCTAATTTAATACGATTCCAAATTTTTGTTTGAACATCAATGTGAATATGTTAGTTACAAGAACTTTATTAATCACTGAATTCGAGGTTTTTTAAAATAACACTTTTCAGATATTTTTTTATTGCCCGTGTAGGCAGACCAGCATACGGCCCACCTGATGGTAAGTGGTTACCGTCACCCATGGACTTCAGCAATGCCAGGAGCAGAGCCAAGCCGCTGCATACCGTTAAATTGGCTGTAGATGAGAGGAAAATCTTAAAAAAAGTTATTTGACTAATGTAAACAAGTGTTAATCATAATTTGTTACGTACTGTTTACCTATACAAATTTTATGGCGGGAACGTGATGCAAAACGTTATATTTTGTTAAGTTATGTATTACTTTTTTCATGACGATTTCTAACAGTTCATCATTTTCTTTTGGTAAGCGATTTTTCTACAAGATGTCCACGACGACCTCTGAACCCGAAGGAGGTAGGAGTGTTGTTTTATTTATTTCCCTACCTAATCGTTGGTAGCCTAAGCGGCTATTCCAGATACTCACGGGCGCAAAAAAATTCGCTAACATTGTCCCAAGCCACAGAAAAGCTTCGTTGAGTCTACCACCGGATCGGAATCGCGACCCACTAAGATCTGTCGAGAAACTCAGTGGGTTGTGTCTATGGGCTAGTTCGCACGTAAAAGTCTTCGGCGTAATGGACTACTTTGATGAGGACGGAGATCGGTGCTTGAAGAGCCTAAAATTACTGTGAGCTTTAGGGGATTCGACAAGACGTGTTTTGAGCGACGGCGGTTTTGCGTTGCCCCGACACAGGGGTCGGATATATAATTAGCGGCGGCCACGATTAGGAATGTGAGAGACCGCAATAAACACTGCAACAAGATACGTGCCCACCCCAAGGGCGCCTGACTCGGCAGAAACAAGTAGGTATACACCAGCATCACAGTTAGCGGCTCGCCTGGTAGGAGGCGAAAAAGTCGAGTATTCAACCAAGTTTTAGGAAATAGGTTGAAGTTTGACATTAGTATTAAATGGTTTCCAGAGCCCATTAGAGATTATTCCAGAGACATTAGAACCCTAATGACGCTCACACCCTGAGGCATCAAGTCGAAGACAGAATAGTGTTCAAGCCGTAGGTACTGCATTATTGGTTCCCTTTCGAAATAAACAGGAAGCTGTGCCACCATATGTGCCATCATAATGCATACTAAAACTAGTTCCGCTAGCTATATGCCATTCTTTGAGAGCCTCTTAGTATCATTTTTTCACTTTCACTGTGGGCATTCTGTTTGAGTATAGATAGGGATTCGTCTCTTTCCTACACTAATCAAATTGAAATTATGGCCTCCAAAGGGCAGAAGGGCTTAGGTTTTTCTTACCGCAAGAGAGATATGGACAAGGTGTATTAGAATTCGTTTTGGACTAAGTGTTATGATGGTCCCCACGGCAAAAGGTGGGAAGTGCCATTCTAGGCCGCCATTCAGTTATATGATCTCATTTGGGCTTGTTTTATTGACACGTACAATCGATTTCTCTAGATACTTATCTTAGTAAATGAGTATGTAAATAAATAAAAACACATTGCATATGTAGTAATTACGAATTTAATAATTTAAAATATAAGTACCTACTTAATACCTACTCCTTAATTTTCTATGATTAAAAAAAGAAAAAGTTTATTGCTTAATAATAAAAACTAAAATAAATCATTTTAAGTAGATATCTTTTTTAATTTTTTTTTTTTTTATTTTTTTTAAGGTTTTTATAATTTTTTTTCTTTTTATAATTTTTAAATAAAGTTGGTTATTACCTATTATATTTATAAGTTATTCTGTTCATTGATGATCAGGGAAGCTTAGAAACTGTTTAATAATCCATTTATGAATGAATAATGGCAAAGGCAATCTCATTAAATTATAATAAAACATATATCTCCAGGACTCCACTTTATACATTAATTTCGGAGTTTCATCCAACATAGCCTTCATAAAAGTGTTCAATATTTTCATATCATGCATTGAATCAAATTTCCCCTCGCCAGATGCCAGCTCCAAATAATTGTTTAGAGATTCAATTTTATTTCCGTAAAACTTTCGTTGTTCATCGTTTAAATGTTCAACCATTGCTTCTCCTTTTGTTTCTTGCCCGAGCAGAATGTTACTAGAGCCAACGAAGCCACCTACCGAAAATAAAAACATGTAGGCCAGCAATAAAGATCAATGTATATCTAACACAAGTAATTAAGATATAAATTACGAAAATATAAAACTTGGCGTTAAAATGGTGAACATCGTATTTAGATAGACGATAGAAGATTAAAAAGACTAAGAAGACTTAGATTTTTTTAATGGTAGAAAACTCACTCTCTGACCAGGATAAAGTGAGTAAGATTTCTGTAATTTACCTTGAGACATGAGGTCGAAGTCTCAATTTTATTGAATGACGTCTTTTCCACCCTTCGCACCGGAATGAACTACTTCTTGATATACATATAGGCGCACACACACACTATACTTAATTTTCATTCAAACCAACATATTCAAATTTCATGTTTTAGTTATCGATGTATCATACATAACATAATAAGCTGTTTGAAACTACAGTTGGAATCAGCAAACGATTTCATTCCTAGTCTCGCTACAAATTTTATTATAAATATAGTTAAAGGATCTTTATTACCGTAATGTGCGTTAGTTTACCCATACCTACCTATATTTATATATTGAAACATATGAATTTCCTTTAAAGTTATCTCCATGTCTACATTTAATGTAAAACTTTAAGCGTTGTAGTCAGTTACCGATTAAATTACTCACATTCTCCATTAAAAAAATCTCAACTGCCAATGTTATGGAATGTTTTACGGACAAGTAGCCACTCTTAAAGAGCAAAATCAAACGGATTAAGATCGAAACTAGATGACGGCCAGTTTTTGATGTATTAGAATCATAAACAATCCATTGCATAACTACGCTCAATAAAAGTGTATCTTGATTCTTGCTACACCTGGGTTGATGTTTTGACACCTTTCTATACAAAATATGGCCCAGTCACCTTTTAAAAATAACAAGCCCACAAAGCCATTTCTGAAGCCGGATATTGTATGTGGCCGGCCAATTTAAAATTTCTGTATAGCTGAAAATTTGCTCAACGGTAAAAATTCTGCTCAGTGGTTTTTTTTCCGTCTCCTATATTTACCTACCGCTTAAGAAGACGCTTTGATTTGGCAATGCTATTAATTTTTAAATTATAGGATGTGTAGCTGTGCTTTTGTTGTAAGCTAAAAATCCGAAGTCATGATTTAAAATACGCTATATGGTTGTGGGTACTATTCATTAATATACATACTATGAAATATCTTGCTTTAGCGGAGGACTTTTTGGATTTTTGCTTTCACTGCTTTAATAGTCTTTTTAGTGCAAATACTACACAGATGGTTTGATTTTTTCTAACACAAACAGAGACATTGTTTTTACTTGGTAAAAAATATATAATCAGGACCAGACTATACCTAGAAATCAAAACGTATGGGCTTTATTGAAGCGAAACAACATTTAAAATTGATTAGAAACAAAAATCGTAGACTTGGGAAGTTCTGAAACAAAAATTTTCGTCATAAGAACCTGGTACAAAGGCAATGACAGCTAATCCGTGCTCGCTGTGCTCAAGATGTAGACATCGTGTCAACGCCAAAAGGCCAGCTTTGCTTGCACTGTATGCAGCGAAGGCGGGCAAAGGCTGCAGGCCACAATGGCTACCAACGTTGATTATACGGGGCTTAGGTTTGCTTGTAGTCTGAAATGAAAACCAAAAGTTAAGTATTTTTCTCCAGATCATATTAATCTTTGTTTTAGGTTGTTTTATTGAAGTGGAACTTCTTTAGGCGCGTTTAGAATAAAATTTAACTCGCGACTGATTCGTTACGGCTAGAGAGAAAAAATACAATTTAGGATCATCGAGAGTGAGAAAATAGCGTCTCGCAAACCACTCGACCGTGAAGAGAAAGAGAGGACAAAGCGATCTAGGTCATTTCTCATATAAACAGCATCCCGTATTACGCATCACAGAATGAAATCGGAAATAATGAAGAAAACCACAATACTACACACCGTAAAAGAAGCTTCACCACTCTCTTGTTTACTGGTGGTAGGACCTCTTGTGAGTCCGCGTGGGTGGGTACCACCACCCTGCCTATTTCTGCCGTGAAGCAGTAATGCGTTTCAGCTTTAAGGGTGGGGCAGCTGTTGTAACTATACTTGAGACCTTAGAACTTATATCTCAAGGTGGGTGGCGCATTTACGTTGTGGATGTCTATGGGCTCAAGTAACCACTTAACACCAGGTGGGCTGTAAGCTCGTCCACCACCCATCTAAGCAATAAAAAATATATATATATCTTTTACGTCCACTAAGCTGCACGCGCACCTTTTTTTTTAATGTATGCTCTAATGTTTGTTACCTATAATGTAAATAGTGTTTGAGTGTTTAATATTGGTGTTTAAATCCATCAGGTAGATATAAATTTTTCTAATTATTCTTGTGTTTAAAGACGAACATCATGTAATAAAAAACAAACTTACAAAAATTATATTTTTTTTAGTTTTCAAATTGATGTTATACTATTACCACAACGGCATAGTAATATGGATCTTAAGGCTTAAGGTGGGCGGCGGCATTCTCGTTTTGATGTCTATGGGCTCCTCAAGAGACGCGAGTTCGTTCCATCAATATACGCTAAAACATACGCATAGTAAATACGTACTTCGATTGCAGTTTTTCTGATTTCTGGTAAAAATGCGGAAATGACTCTCATCGCGCCGAGCAAATTCACATGGACCGGGCTTTCTATCATCGATGCTGTCATCCATTCGTACTTTCCTACTGTCATAACTCCAGCGTTGTTGACCACGGCATGAAATTCTAACAAAATTATATTGTTAGCACCAATGAAGATGATAATGACGGTAGAACGAAAATAAATTTAAAATTTGAGAATAGAAAAAAAATTTACATTAAAATAAATGATGGAGATAGGCTAAATATTCTTCATGGCCATTTTAATATGATTTACATTATAAGGATAATATAGGTAGCAGGTTAAGTACTTACTGTATTTAGGATTATCTTTCAAGACTGTAAGCACATACTTTCGGAATTCTTGAACGCTTTCAACTCTAGTTACGTCTAAAGGGAATGTGTGCGCACACAATTTTTCGAGGGCTTTCGCTGCTTCGGTTTCTATTCCTTTGTGCATACCAGCTATTGTGATGAAGCCTTCTCGAGCTAATCGAGCTGCTACTGCCCAACCAAGTCCACTATCACACCCTGTTACAGCTACAAGACGGCTAACGGACATCGCGCTGACTATTTAGAATATTTAGACTTGTAATGAAAAATTCTAATAAAATATTCGGCTACGACGTCGTTTCGATATGGTGTTGCTGTCTTAAGAACTGAAAAGACACTGACGTTTGTAGACAATTCCCGGCAGTCTGTTGCATATGAAACGGGTTTCGGGCCTCACTGCATATTTACATTGAATTTCATGTTTATAATTTTTATTTGTCTCGACTATCAGAAGCACTTTAGAACACTATTTTCTAACATTAAAATTAGAACAATAGCAAAAAATGCGTAATAAGTTTATGTGCTTAACTAATAAAGTGGTATGAAGTTGATAAGAAACTTTGTAATTTCTGCTTTAATATATTGCGTTCAGTAGATTCTGATCTACTCAACGCAATATATTAAAGCAGAAATTGATCTCTCATACTATATTGTGTAGTCGGTTTTAACCAATTCCAATAGACATGACCGCGATCGATGTTGAAACACGAGGTACCAAGTATATTTGAATAGTTTCTGTCATTTACTGAACTTATACCTGCGTATGAATAGGTCGTGGCCGAATTATTACCGAATTAAATCTATAACACTGAGACTGTAACTATACTGAAACCTTAGTAGTCATATCTCAAGGTGGGTGGCGGCATTTACGTTTTGTAGATGTCTATGGGCTCTGGGTAAACACTTAACATCAGGTGGGCTATGAGCTCGTCCACCCAGCTATGCAATAAAAAAAAGTAAATATTAATTAAAATGAAATAAGAATCTTTTATTTCAAGACATCATAATCTCATAGCGTGTCAGTATTACAAATAACTTAAACTATGTTAGTATTTAAGTAAATCCAATAATTATTGATATTAGAGCTTCTTTTCCTGTATAAATGTTTTAGCAGAAAAAATAACTACATAACGACAGTAGTTTTTCGAAACATCTCGATGGCAAATGATTTCATGAGTACAAAAAGTTTTGCCGAAAACTAAAATTGGTCGGGGTGTCAGATGAAAATGTCGAATAGTTCGACAAAGAGACGCCAATAAAAGAGGATCGTTTCAGCACGAATACCCATCTGAGAGATTAGACCTATGGAACGGAAACAATCTTGTATTTTCTGGATGACTTAATTCGGGATCGGATGTCGACTGATAGTGTTTCTATAAATACGTTTCTTTTAATTATTTATTAACATTTTATTGTTATTTTATTCTGAGCATCTTGTTTACGTAATTGTGCAAAATCTTATTAATTCTTTGGGGCCAGATAGTAATCTATACTAATATTATAAAGAGGAAAGATTTGTTTGTTTGTTTGTTTCGAATAGGCTCCGAAACTACTGGACCGATTTGAAAAATTCTTTTTCCATTAGAAGCCGACATTGTCCCTGATGAACATAGGCTACTTTTTTTAAATTTAATTTNGAGCATCTTGTTTACGTAATTGTGCAAAATCTTATTAATTCTTTGGGGCCAGATAGTAATCTATACTAATATTATAAAGAGGAAAGATTTGTTTGTTTGTTTGTTTCGAATAGGCTCCGAAACTACTGGACCGATTTGAAAAATTCTTTTTCCATTAGAAGCCGACATTGTCCCTGATGAACATAGGCTACTTTTTTTAAATTTAATTTAATTTTATTTTTTTGGTTTCATGTGTGTTTTAATGTTTCCGAAGCGAAGCGAGGGCGGGTCGCTAGTTTTGAATATATGTGAATTGTACTTTAATTAGTTGTGCTGTAAATTTTCTTAATTAGAAAAGAATTATTGTGATTTCATCCGATGTAAATCTGTCCCTGCGGGATACTGGCTAATTGTTACACGGCCCGAATAAGTCAACTGATGTTTTTTATTTGTTGCATTGATTTTACATAAATTTCCCTTTTACGACAGGGGAATGGACAAATATACAGTGCGGATACACCTCAGTATTGGTGTTTAGGGATCGACGAATACGCCGATAAATTATGTCACCTTTCTCGTTCGACAATGGTGACGGGCATGTTTTATTGTGACCAATGATTCTATATAAATATACGGAAAATAAGCGCACGTCCATCCAGTATTTTGTGACTACGGGTCTCCATATACATCACAACGTGAATACCCCGATCTCCAAGCCGTGTTCTGCTAGGAAAACAGATAAGACTAGAATTAAGACTTGAGCTCCAACTGTAATGCCACCATAAGACATTTGGTTTGATGCCCAGTTGAATTACATGTAAAAACATCTCGCTCTTCAGATCGCAATGGGTCTATAGAACGACCTTTTTTTTCGGGCTGAATCTCATACGAAGTATCTACGCCTAGGGGGCGCGCTGGGTATATGGAAATTTACGGTTTTATATAATTATGTTGGAAGCAGACCACGGGCCTAAGAATATTTTTAGGGTCTTACTTACCAAACGACTCCCCTTGCAACGATTCCCCTTACACTCTGTCACCCAATGTCCGATCTCCACCCGGGGTCAGAATCCGGACAAAGTAAAGGGTTCCTGGGGTCAACACTACAACCAGACTCGCGACGCCACCCCAAGGACACCGGTTGATCGCGACGGCGATGGTGATGGCGTTGTTGTTCTGGGATACCACTCTTAAAACTATCTAAATTAATCTATGTATCTATTATACATTCAAATAGTTCAAAACTAGGTTATTGAGCTATCGATGCTGGCTATACATGAAGTGTGAGGCCACCCTTTTACTATACTATTGAAACTTGGACTTTAAAGAATCAAAGTGTTCACGTTAGCACCAATTGGGCTTAAGAGCATCTATCCGATACCATATCAGACATCAGTGTGTCCATCACTTTCGCTTTCTAAATTTACTACCTTTCTCATCTTCCATCTCGGTTTTACTTCACACAGTCCTCCTATTTTATTTTCTATCTTAACTCTCCTACCAATTTTTATCTTGTCTTGCCCGTTAAACCTTTCATTCGCAAGGGAAGTAGGCACAGATCAATTATAATTAATATCGTACCATAACTCAGATGTTCCACCTAATGGGATAATGGATCGAGAACAAAAGAAAAGTATCGCTTTAAATTTGTATTTTCTAGGGGAAATTTCCAGGAAAAATCCGTTGACGGCTCGTGCGGCGAACGGCGGTCATTGGACCGACACTTTTAAGGAGAAGGGCACTCCGGGGAAATCTGCCCGCCCTCAACGTAGTCCTGATAATAGTGTTTGCTCATTTGAGTGTTCTCCTGCCGGATTGTATTCGGTTAATGGTATAGGGAAAGTGAAGCCTGTCTTTAAGAGCCTCGTTGTCTCATTGACTCGGCGACAACGAGTTTGAGAGTGCGTTTGGTACCAGACTCTAGTTTTGGTACCGTTTACTAATTAAAAACTTACATAATTTATATTTGTATTGCAAAATTGGTTGGAATCACAATTCAAAAATGTACTCTGGTCTATTTTATTTTTTTATTAAAATATAAAATTGAATTACGTAAACAGAACATAGAAATACTATATTTATCACCTGAGACTGAAGCAAGGTTGGGTGTTTTGAACAAGCAGTGATTACTTTTGATGATGATGATTACTGGTGGTAGAACCTCTTGTGAGTCCGCGCGGGTAGATGCCACCACCCTGCTTATTTCTGCCGTGAAGCAGTAATGCGTTTCGGTATGAAGGGTGGGGCAGCCGTTGTAACTATACTTGAGACTTTAGAACTTATATTTCAAGGTAGGTGTCGCATTTGCGTTGTAGGTATCTATGTGCTCCAGTAACCACTTAACACCAGGTTGGCTGTAAGCTCGTCTCCCCATCTAAGCAGTAAAAAAATAAATAAATGAAATTAAAAGAATGAAGCGGCAATTATTAGAAAAGAGTTAAATGAATGCTAAAGTTTGTAAAATTAAATTTGATGTACTACTTAAAGGATATTAACGAACTACTGATTCTTTGCTATATTATCTCGTCTTTTGGTTAGCAATGAAATTAAGCGTCTGTTCAGGAAATTGATGGATGACAAACTCACGATGACCGCAGGAGCTGTACTTCTCACGATCCATCATCATTTGTCAAATGTTAATACGTTTCCCTACAAAATCAACTGAGACCATAATTAACCCAAGCTTGTAATACACGGAAGTAACACGTTAACATTTACCAAAAAATATGTGTTCGTTTTTCGTGAAGATTAAGCCGTTATTTTCTTGTCCTTAACCTTAAACACCTTAAGGCGGGATTTTTACGACCGCCTGTTTATTTTACGTCAACGTTTACTTAAAATAGAAGGGATATATAATCTCTAAATCAGAATACAAAAGTCATTATAGTACTGCTTCTACGAATGGCGACAGTAGTAGAAGCGCCAAGCAGTTACTGGTGGTAGGACCTCATGTGAGTCTGCACGGGTAGATACCATAATCCCGCCTATTTCTGCCGTGAAGCTGTAATGCGTTTCGGTTTGAATGGTGAGACAGCCGTTGTAACTATACTGAGATCTTAGAACTTATATCTCAAGGTGGGTGGGGCATTTACGCTGTAGATGTCTAGGGGCTCCAGTAACCACTTAACCACCCATCTAAGCAATAAAAAAAATTGTTTTTAAACAAACAACGAAAGGATATTGACAAATTCTCAATAAAATCAATTTTTCTCGTCGCTGCACAATTTCGCAGTTGGCGTCGTCATGAATGCACGGGCAATTTACGCGGTAACAAAGCAGCCCTGCCAACAGCACCACGCAATACGGCAACAAAATATCGCAAACTCGAATTTCACGAGCTATATTTTCAGTTCATAAAAGTTTATTTGTGCATGCAAAATGTAGAGCTCTTACGGAACTCGGCGGGTATATGCGCCGCAATCATTTTCATACATTATGGTAAATTTAACTTAGCCACCACTAGACACGATATAAAACTCATTTAATGCGCTCGCAAAGAAGTTTTATTTACATTGCACGGAAAAAAACAAAAAATAAACATAGCAACACTTTAAAACATCAAAAGGGAATTAATTACGAATGTTACTCCGAATCCAGTCTATGTACCGGTAGACATTACTATAAAGCGAAGGCACGGATGTCCCACAGGGGGAGTCAGCCCGTTTTCCACTGACTACACCCACGACAAAGTACTTCCCGCCGTAGACGGTCATTAAGGGTCCTCCGGAGTCGCCTTTGCATGTGTCCTCTCCACTATACCCGGCGGCACAAAGCTGTGTGTCGCTCAGAGCCGGATAAAAAAATTTGCATCGCGCCTGTGGCACTAGATTGACGACCGTCGATTGTTTGATGTCAGATATGAAGCGACCGTTACTACCCCATCCGGCTACCGCTAATCGGAAGTTCGAAAACTCCGGATCGTCAATATTGATTGGGGGCAGACAAATTGGTCGAATATAATCTGAAATTGTTAAAATTAACTAATTAATATCCACCGTTAAAATATAACGTATCGATTGGTTTTGGTGAAATTAAAAACCTGTATATTGAACGTTCCCACGTAGTCTGATTAATGCTATGTCATTACTGAGGCTATTGTCGTCATATAGGGGGTGTCGAATGACATCTTCTCCGTACATTATTAAATTTTGTATGCACTTCTGACCGACACCTAAGACCATTTTGCAGTCGACTGGAAACGATTGCTTATCGTATTCTGCTAAATGAACTTCAACACTGAAATGAATTAAATGTTACAAATAAGCTCATCTTTCATTTAACTTCTTCTTCTCAGTCGTACACTCCTGACGGAGTGGTCGTGGTTACGTATGTCTTAATGCTTCGTTGCGGCTTTTGAAAGATTTCTCCATCTCTGTCTATTTGTGACGGTATGTGAGTAAGGGAACACTTTGTAGATGACTTAATCAAGTCTGTCCGCCTTGTGGATGATCGGCCGCGAGAGCGTTGACCGTCTACTCTTCCTTGAACCACTAAACGTTCCAATGAGCTTTCATTACGAATGAGATCATTTAATCATTCGATGCCTCCAATGAACACTACTCTAACTCAAAATTTCGAAATTTTCGTTTTTCACGCAAATCGCTTCACTATTTTAAAAGTATTACAAATTCATTATTGATGGGGTTCGAAGCAAGAGTAAATTAGCTAGTTACACAAGAAAAAACCATAAAATCTTTATTATTGCAGATATATTTATCAAATTTTTTCGTTTAAACTCTCCTCCTGTAAACCTACGAATTTGGAGTTAGAGTAGTGTTCATTGGAGGCATCGATTTAACTTACAATATTTATAATAAATGGTTGTTGAGATTAAATCTAACAAAGTTAAATTATACTAGTTCCTTTTGTTGAATTTCTACACGTTAATTTTGTTTCGATAGTAATGCATTTTTATGGTATGAATTAATATCCAATATTGTGGTCATTGAATTTTGAATAAAGTCAAACTTACTTGGCTATTGTGCCGTTTGGATCAAACACACAATGTCCGGCGGTGAGTACGTAACGAGAACTGATGAGAGATCCTCCACAATTGAACGCCGCTTTGTGGGTCCCATAATTGAATGTCGTTTTCAACAGAGCTGTCCACGGATATTGATATAACTCTGTTTCGGTACCACCTGTTTCCCAAAAAAATAGTACACAATTTCAATTTTGCCTTGATATATATTTAGAAGAATTTAAAATATAATTAAAAGTACTTTAAAATTTTAATCTAGCGCTTATTATTTTAATTTTCTTTATTTTCAATGTTTCAAACAATTTACGTGTTCGTGGTCAGGGACGAGATGACTAGGGTGTAATTTGTTGACGTTAAAATAATGTCTTAACTATATACCATGCAATATAATGTATATTATGATAACTACCGTCATAATGCGAGATTAAACCGTTAAAGCAATCATAACTATGTCCACGGGTCGCGAAAACTGAAAAAAATAAAACTAGAACAGTAAAAACGATTGAAAATATATATTTCCTAAATCTTTCGTAAATCTTTCTTTGATTTTATCCACTTTAGTTTGAAGTATAATTGAAAGCTTTCCTACTTTACATCGGGTTGTTGGTTTAGGACATTCGATAGAAAATAGTTTCATCTTACCTGCGATGCGAGTCGACGACTTAATTAATTCTCTTTTCTTGCGATTGATATGACTCTGACTATTCTGCCATAATGGTATTGATGGGTCAAGCATGGGTTTTATGGGTTTCCAAGTATTTTGGATATACGGTTTCTGAGCCCAAATTGTATTCGGGATGGCTGCGTGCAAGTGAGTTATGTTATTAAGCCGTAAAAATTTGTTTTTTTTTCGGAAAGTTTATGATTTCAGAAATATAACAATATGTGTGTCATATAAGATAATTCAATGATGTAAACAAAATGCATAACAGTGATAATGGAAAAACTCAGAAAATTTTCATTCACCAACAGTGCGCGTGCATTGCATTATTAAATTTTAAAAATGTGTATTTCCTTCATAACAGCTTTGCAAAACAACTCACCTGTTAGCCTGTCAGTTTCAGTAGCCTCCAGGCCACAACACCCCGTATTAGGATCAAGCGGAAAGCTTGTTAATGGGGAACACTGGCTATATGTGTTTATATTTCCCGGGCTATTATTTAAACTTGGAAAATACGAGGTTTTTATTCCAGGATCAAGTGTCGGCTGCGGTGTTCTCGGGATAAGAACGTTTACTCGTGGTTTAGGTTTTCCTTGGTCAACACTAAGGTCTTCGGGGTGAGACGGTTTAGGATTTGATATTAACGGATCTAAATTACCACTGGCAGGATTCACTTTGGTATTATTGGCTGAGTTTTGTTTCTCTAGATCCCAAATTCCATTTGGGCAGCATATCTGAAATAAATACTTAAATATCTTAATTTCTGTCCTACATAGGTACATGAGCTCACGGTCGTCCTAAATTCAAGTGAGTACCAGAGCAAACATACGTCACAAAATATCGTTACCTTCAGATTGTCTTCATTGTATCTTATGACGTCTTCCCTAACTTTCGAACCAGAACGGTAGCGATATATATAAACACAATATAACTTGCGGTGGGGGCTAAATGTGTCTTACGACTTTCTTTTTTTTTTAGCTTTTATGAGATTGGTATGCGTAAGTTTGGTTTAAGTAGGAGAATTTTTGAACGTCATTTTTACATATTTCTTTACGACTTTCGATTAACTTCAATGTTTCGCTAAGGACCGATGACAATAGAATAAATTTATAACTTCACTCTAATATCAATAGTGTCAACTGAATAAAAATAAAGATTTGGTATTAACGCGTGTTTTTTTTTCACTACATAGTATAAAACAAAGTCGCTTTCTCTGTCCCTATATCGCTATGTATGCTTAAATCTTTAAAACTACGCAACGGATTTTGATGCGGTTTTTTTAATAGATAGAGTGATTGAAGAGAAAGGTTTATATGTATAATAACATTCATTAAATAGTGGAGAAATCAGTAATAAATTACAGTTTCCGAAGCGAAGCGAGGGCGGGTCGCTAGTAAAATTATAATACATATATTATTTTATACGATAATACATATATTTTTTCCTTCATTATATGAGTGAATCTGCTAAGTACGTATTTTCTAAGAAATCTCGTATCTGCCTTCGGGATTTGTATCCCGATAAAGTCGCATTGTTCGACATGAATACACGAACCGTCTTATTCTTTAATCCGCAAGCGCTTCTGTGTATTTACATAGGTAAATAAGTTGTATGTACAAGTATGTCGCCTCGTTTACCGGTCAGTGCCTCAACTTGTATCGTGTAGTTTGATTCCCAATGGAATAGACTTAATGTCTACGTTAGCTTTATGGGTTTCAGTAAATATAAGACTATTTATTTTAGTTATATTGCTATAATATTCAAATCTAAGTAAATTATATTCGAAAATTAATTAATAGAATCTTCAACAAATTTGTTTGTTAAAACTTTATTGTCGTACTTTATTGTAAAAATATATAAAAACTAGCGACCCGCCCTCGCTTCGCTTCGGAAACATTAAAACACACATGAAACCAAAAAATAAAATAAAAAAATAAATAAAAAAAGTAGCCTATGTTCATCAGGGACAATGTCGGCTTCTAATGGAAAAAGAATTTTTCAAATCGGTCCAGTAGTTTCGGAGCCTATTCGAAACAAACAAACAAACAAATCTTTCCTCTTTATAATATTAGTATAGATATATAATATTATATTAGTATAGATGAAGTAAAACCATTGATTGCTAGTGAAATTCAGAGTAGGTACTGTTCCATCGGTAAAATAAATGGTGGTGAAGTAAACATTAAGCTTTTTTATTGGAGTCACTTAAATCCGTTGGTCACGTAAAGTTCATCACTGATCTTTGTATGTTAGCTTAGTAGGATACCATTAGGATTGGCAGCGATTACTGATTAGGTAGTTAAAAAGTAGGTAATTATTTAGTAGCTTTTCGTATATAAATCGTTTCGTATGTATTTTTAAAAATAATTAATCTATTTATATGTACTGGAGGTCCCGCAGTAGTCGAAATTCGACTATAATAATTAATTGGAATTGTAAGTTTGTACACTATTATGATTCTATTTTATACTTCAATAATCACAAATTTCGCCAAGGCTACACTATAAAAAAATATTAAAAAAGACAAATAATATTTAATCTATTCTCAATTTGACCACAGACGTCAAGAACAGAAGTTTGACAATAAATAGTAGGTATGCGTGTGTGCATTAAATACATGGTATGTAGTGTGTGAGATGTTTTCTTTATTGATTTAATGTATCTTTTAAGCATTATTTTTAAAAAATATTAGCGTTGCACTTCTTCTCTATAATCTCTATAAGTGTGGAAAATTTTATACTTCTCCGACCGCGCAATTTTCGTAAAAAGGGATACAAAGTTTTTGCTTCACGTATTACTATACCTATATATATGTATGTTGCATTTGATATTTCAATACTCACATAGTCTTCATTAGCATTCGCAGTAAAACCACCAACTCTGTTCCCATGATTATGAGGGCTTGAACAAGGATATTTAGTGACCCAACCCTGTTGTTCATGTGGGGTCATGTTACCGAATAATGAGCACTTATCTTTGTGTACACACTGGTCGCATACATCTGAAAATAACGCAATTCAAATTGCAATTTTAAATCAAATGTTTAAAACACACATTTCTGACATATTATATGTAATTCATATATATTTTTTTTTGCTTAAATGGGTGGACGAGCTTACAGCCCACCTGGTGTTAAGTGGTTACTGGAGCCCATAGTCATTAACAACGTAAATGCCGCTACCCACCTGAGACATGAGTTCTAAGGTTTAAATTTTGTAGTATAACGCCTGCCCCACCCTTTAAATCGAAACGCATTGCTGCTTCACGGCAGAAATAGGCAGGGTGGTGGTACCTACCCGTGCGGACTCACAAGATGTCCTACCATCAGTAAAAAAGTATTCAGTAAACTTTTAATTTTTTCATATTATTTACTAATCAACTGGCATTAATTGTATTGCTATATTTTATTAACGTTTTACTTTTCATTTAAGTTACAGAATAGCGCTCTCGGAACGTACTGCACAAAAAATTATATGCGTGGCCTTAAAACATATTTTAATCTGCTCATTTTTTTCTTTAATGTACACAAAAATATGGAGCTGTATAGTGTCTAGAATAACATCCACCTCGTCTTTTCCTGTGGGTAAAAGGCAATTAAGGAATTGTTAAGAGAATTAACAGCAGCGTTCATTATTGTCTTTCGATCACTAGCCCGTATTTACTGCTGGTATTGTAAACGCGCATGGATAGGTAAGGCCATCCCGAGTATATGCAGCGCGATGCAGTCATGCGTTCAGGTCTGAAGGGTGCGTGAACCCTCATACAGTACATCTAAGACTTTAGCCCCCTGTCTTGAAGTGGTGGCGTACACGTTATGATATTTATAGGCTCTGCTTAATACTGGTGTACAGGAAAAAACTAGTCAAATTATATGGTGCCTTTCACAGCATGCGAAGTACTTTTTCTATATAACGTATAAACTTACCGTTTGATATTATAATATTAATAGAAATAAATATAATAAATGAAAAGAAATTGCCAAGGTACTGTATAATTTACCATTAACGTTAAGTTAAACATCAATATACGCGTAATTTGAGAAGAAAAGTCGTATTAAGTAGGCCCAGTTTTGAAGCGATGTGTGTATTTCTTCGTGTTTTCCCCGATATGTTAAATTACTAAATATTTGCATACCTTTGCGTGTCGCAGTTACAAAAAGGCTTACACTTCCTAAAAATGAAATATGACAAATTAAAGACACCCGCATTTTACACAAAAACTTAAACTAGATGTCACACACAATGTCCGCTAATGAACGTTTGTTAATGACTGACTAAAATACTACAACAATGGTATATCTACTTACTTTACTAATTATTGATTGACAAAGGAAATCTAAGTTATTTATTAATTACGACCTAATAGTTTTAATAGAACTAACAAGCACTTGATGAATGATAACAATTAAATAAGTACCTACATAATATTTTTCTTAGAATGCAATAATAGATTTCCTCAATTCAGGCATGATGTGGGCCAACTTTTTTTTCTATTTCTATATGCAGAGGAAACTAAAGAAAAACTATTATAAAGGTACTAGCTTTTGTCTGCGACTCCGTTCGCGTGGAATAGTTACTTTGGCATAACGCTAAATTTTACCCCCATTTCATTTACCTACTAAGTGAAAATATTTGGAAATATTCTTTATTGGTGCTCCGCTTGTATTGGTCTTAGCGTGATGTTATATAGCCTATATATAGCCTTCCTCGATAAATGGGCTATCTAACACTGAAATAATTTTTCAAATCGGACCAACAAACTCTTCAGCTTTATAATATTAGTATAGATAAGGTGAGGTACGAAATAAAATTTTAAAGAGAATAAAACCCTACATAAGGTTTCACGTATAACTCCTAAACAGAATTTTAGAATTACCGGTGGCCAATTGGTTTCAGCTTCGATAAACAGGATCACGGCGTAGACCACACCATGTCCTGCGCTTGAAATTCAATTAGCAGTGTGCCACCACACACCCCCGAAACTTCCCATAACACGAAATCACACACACAGATACACACATGTTTGTCTCTGCGGTTAGAACACCTAACTGTTTCCTACTACTGTTATTGATTTCAACCTCTTTGTAATCGCTAAACTGAGTCATGCAAAAAATATGTGTAAATCATAGTTTTTTTTAAAAAATAAAGCATTAAATTTAAAAAAAACATTTAAAGGAAAATTTCCTAGATTTGTTTAATTTTTCATAGTTAAATCATAGAAAGGTAAACGTGCTCACGATCCATAAACTATAATAAAAATCAAAATCACAGAAAAAGTTATTACGTAATTATACAAACCGACTCTTTTTTGATTATCTTAAGGGTCATCCGTAATACCGTACGATTAAGATTTCAACCTCATATCTCAAGATGGCTGAGGGAATTCACGTCGTGATGTCTAGGGTCCTCATCATTTTAGTCCAGGTAGGCCGTGAGATAGTTCAAAATTCTTCGTAATAAACGTTACTCAATGTAACGTCTACACACACATCTGTCACACATGTGGGTTTTTTCAATAGTAGGTAATTACTGTTATCTGTCTCACATAACTTAGTTCCTTATTTGGGAAATCCTATCTCATATTAAACATTTAACCCAGTAGCCTGGAACAATTAAACAAAAGATAAATTACCCCATCATTCAATTAAGAACTAATCAAAATTGTCTTCTCGCAAAAAAGCTTTACTGACCTGATTACATCATTTCATCCAATTTCGTAAAGAGGTCCTCATTAAATTAGCACCGAGACATTAATTTTTATTAAAATCTCGTCTTGAAAGGAAATATTAGCTTTATTTATTTTTTTCGTTTATTTTTATACAAAGCCTGACACAACCTCTGATGTATTGTTGTAGACAGCCACACTTTCGATTACTTCAATTTCATACATACGCACTACTCGGATCTTGAGCTTTTGGTACAATTTAATGTCGAGGAGCGTCGTGTTAATCTTTCGTTATTTTATAAGTTTCCGGACATTCTTGAGACATATTTCAACTAGATTATATTGAAGCTAAGAAATGGGGAGAAGTATGTAGGAAAATAAAGTGGATTGGAAGATACGAAAACTGTGGTACAAGTAAATTATATTTAATTTACTTTAATTTCCAATAAATAAAAAATGAATTGCTGTTCGTTAGTCTCGCTAAAACTCGAGAACGGCTGGACCGGTTTGGCAAATTTTGGTCTTGAATTATTTTTGGAAGTCTAGAGAAGGCTTAAAAGGTAGATAAATATGAAAATGCTCGGAATTAAATAAAAATAACAATTTTGTTTTTCCTTTGATGTGTCCCCCGTCGGACGGATTCCTTTTGTTTGTTTTAAGTTTATTTTATACAAAAGTTTATGTCTTTTATTTATCGATTGAGGCACTACGAAGTATGCCGGGTTAGCTAGTTTCCAATAAATACAACGCTTGGTCTTTTTGTTGCGATGTTATTCTGGTTATTGTTTTTGGCGCGACCAAAATATGTGCTATAAGAGTAAGCTATAAGTTTAAAATAGTATTACAGTCATTGAAAACAGAACGCGTGTTAATTAGGAAAAGAAATGGAATAGTACCGTTACAAAAGCTCACAATGTACGCAGCAACTATTGCGATGTCAAGAACTTCCTGGTTAATTACTATCATTATTATTACATACCCAATTAAATAGAGACTTGGGTTCAGTAATGTTCGACCAAGACATAACAGAGTAGCCAATTTAATTTAGGTCCTTTTAAGTGCCTAGTTTTTGGCCTCGTTCCAAAAGTACTGGAATCGTAAACCTGATTTATGAAACTGAATAAGGCCCTGCACTTGAGTCAACGTCTACTAAATATGACGAATATGTTTTCAGTTTTTGATTTGAAAAAAAAAAAACATAATTTAATCAATACAATAATTTAGAAATACAAGTTAGTCTCATAACAATATCTTGCTGTTTATCGGTGAATTTTTCATCGATTTTTATCAAATAACTATTCAACAACTTTCTTTGCAAAGTGACAAAGAACTTTATGCGATAACTTTTATTTTTCACCCCCCGTGTTTTCCCAAAGACAGAACTTCCGTGTAACGAATGTCTGGTTTCAATCTTCCCTCAATTAACTTCAGGGTACGTTCGATTCGACAAGTGCCACTTAGTTTTAATGGCACGATATAGCAAGGATTTTTGTCAAGGGTGGAACCCTAACATATGAAAAGGGTTGTAACATAATATACTTTTGTAACTACTTTGTTTTATTGAATTTCTATTTGATAGTAATGCTTTCTGATGCCACACTATAATAATTACACAGTCTCATTGGATGGATCATGGACATTTCATTCCCTTTTATTCTTTACTCTATTCATTACCTTTGCAGGTAGTTTTTTTTTTCTCCTAAAAGTGTGGACGAGCTCACAGCCCACCTGGTGTTAAGTGGTTACTGGAGCCCATAGACATCTACAACGTAAATGCGCTACCCACCTTGAGATATAAGTTCTAAGGTCTCAGTATAGTTACAACGGCTACCCCACCCTTCAAACCGAAACGCATTACTGCTTCACGGCAGAAATAGGCCGGGCGGTGGTACCTACCCGCGCGGACTCACAAGAGGTCCTACCACCAGTAATTACGCAAATTATAATTTTGCGGGTTTGATTTTTATGGCACGATGCTATTCCTTCACCGCGGAAGTCAATCGTGAACATTTGTTGAGTACGTATTTCATTAAAAAAATTGGTACCCGCCCGCGTGATTCGGACACCGGTGCATCGCTTCAACACGAATGCACCGGACGTCTTATCGTTTAGGCCACGACGACTTCATTTTAGGCCACGACGACTTCATAAGTGTATAGTCCACCTGATAATAAGCGGTGTCGTCAACAGGCTGCAACAACATCAGCAAACTATCTGCTGCTGAGGATTCTTTTTGAACCTCAAATAAAAACATGTTATACCAGTGGGGAAACCGTGGGGGAAGTTCATTCCAAAGCCGAATTGTACGTGGCAAAAACAACCCTGGAAAGATACTGTAGATGAACGCAGCGGTTCTATACATTATGGATGAGCTCTGCTCTGGAATGAATTGTTCTGCTCTCTGCTGAACAAAGAGAAACGATAGGTTCATCTTGAACGATTTCTCAGAGCTCCAAAACACAGCAAAACGAAGTCTTTCTATAGACCCAGAGGCTCTAAAGGATCTGTGTGAACGAGTTTTTCGATAGTCCGAACAGCCCTGCATGGAGTCAAGTCCAAGTAGCTGGTATTTGGGAGCACTGATCCAGAGATGGAAGCAGTAATCCACGCCGGGTCGGCCTTGTACTTTGTAAAGCACTTTTTTTTTGTTTACCTATGCTGATAGCCTTGAAAGGTTATTTCAGCTTCGCCCTAACATTTAGGTGAGCTCACGGGGCTCAAACCTGTACGACGTTGCTAACACAAGCCCTAGCAAGAGCCGTACTTCGCAGCCACCACCTGATCGGAAACACGACCCACTGAGAAGATCCGGCGAGAAACTCAGTGGGCTGTGTATGTGGGTTAATTTACTCGTCGAGCTCTTCGTCGCGAGCGACGGGTTGGACGAGGATGATGACCGGTGCTTGAGGTACCTAAAAACACCGTTAGTTAGAAAAGCACATAGCGAGGTTGTCTGGGTATTCATCCAGAGTCAGAGCTGAGCGGCTTACTCCAACACTGAGTTCAGAGGCATAGAAAAATAGACTAACACAATACAATTAGTACGATTTCAAAATAAAAATATATAGGTAACATTAATATTTAGAGATACAGGCCGAAAAATCTCATTTAATACTTTACCTTTTTCATTCGAAAAACATCGTGATTAACGGGCACGATTTATGATACCGATGATAATGAATTATGTCGTTTATTTCGAAAACGCCTTTGCCTTCGTTGGAGCAAACGTTATAAACGACGTGCATCCCCACTGCACGTGTCAAATCATCGATCATAGTTCTTAGCGTGTCAGAAATGGGGAGTTGCTGCTGTAAATCGATACAAATGTGTTTCATATTTTTTTATGTCGCATATATGTTTGTTTTACGCATGTTAAGAACCTTTAAGTCGATCGACACTAGTTCAAGATCAAGACAATTCGACGACCTTCATGCACCTAACTTCTTTAATTTGTTGCTTTAAAATTAAGGTCATCTCAACTTTAAAATACTTACTTTGAACACTAGGAACTTATGTTATGTATGTGGAGGAAAGACAGCATGGAAGAAAAGACGTGATTTTTCACAGTCAAGGCCGCATAATATCGGTGCTG